GTTACGGCCATCTCCTCCACTGCTTGGACTCTGTCTCTGGGATGTCATTCAACCGCTCGCCAATGTACCAGTTGAAGCCTACGACGCTCTTCAAGCTAGAGCCATCCGTAGTCTTAAAAATTTGGGCGTTAAAGGGTTAAGATGTTGTTTTCACAAGGTGTGTCGTGGCAGTGGCCCACGCTTGGACCAGAAGTGTGCTGGGTTGGTGTGACCATTCCAAGCCGGACTTTGCAAGACCAATCTTCACCTAACCACATCCACATCGTACTACCGCCCAAGGCTGTGTTTGTGCGACGACAAGTGAAAGGCTCGTGCACTGCGACGCTCGCCCTCTGCTCGAGAGATACTGTACCAACGCCGTTGTTCATAGCGGGGAAGCAATAGCTGGAAGAATCACCGTTGCCGATGCTCTTGCCATTCAAGATTCGAGTCTACCGTGCTTCAAGGCCTTGGTTCGTTGGTTGCACCACAGCTCTTGCTCTCAAGCTGGCGGCGACACCATGCAGACAGGCGGTCAGGTACGTTTTACACGAATTCTCAGGTTTTCCGGAATATGTAACCGGACTCTCGCGGCCATTTCAATATACTAAAATACTACATACAAACAGAACAATATCAACTGTATTTTTATACTCAACATGGCAAATTGACCAAGACGGGTGCCAGAACGTTCCGTGAGTTTGCTTTTCATTGCAGCGTATCCAATAAAGTGCATAGCAACGGAAAGACACGATGTGAGTCCTTGCCGAATGAGCACGTTCACAACTCCAGCCACTCGTCAATGGACAGTACCGAGACGATCCAGGTGCTCGGCGCCGTCGCTGCGGTCGCCCTCGCGCTCGGCTACTCGCTGCGCCCGCGGGCGCCAACTGCGCGCTTTGGCGACGCCTGCGTCACGATCATGCAGCACGAAGCCAACTCGTTCCACGTCATGGCGCTGCCGCCGACGCGAACAATCACCGTCTATCCGCATCTCGACGTTCCGGCCCTCGCCGCGCGCACGGCGGCCATTGTCGCGGCCAACCCGTGGCTCGTCGGGCGCATGGTCTCCGCAGTCGACACGATGGTCGAGCTCCAGTACGCCGCGTCGCCGAACAACGCCGCGGCAGCGTTCTCCGAGGTGACGTGCTCGTTGCCGGCCGACGCACCGAGTGACGACGTCACGCATTGGCTCACGACAAACATTGCGCCGACGATGATTGGTCGCGTCTGCCTCGACGATCCGCGTGCGCGCCTCTTCCAAGTTGTCGCGGTGCACTTTGCGAATGGCACCATTGGTGTCGCCGTCGCGCTTTGCCACTCGATCGGGGACGGCGACACGTTTTACACGCTCTACCAGATGCTGGATGTCAATGAAAAGGTGTGTGCGCTGACGCCGACCCGTGCGTTTTACAACGGGACGCCGGTCTTTCGCCACTGGGCACCGTACACGACGCGGTCGGCGTTCATGGGCCTCCGCGTCCTCATCAATGCGCTGCTGTACAGCTACCGCAAGCTCCTCAAGACGCCACCGCACGTCACACAGTACCGTGTCAACCTGGACGCGATCGCGGCCGTCAAGAAGGCGTACTCACCGACGCCAACCGCGCCCTTTCTCTCGACCAACGACATTCTCACCAGTGCTTTCTTCAGCATGACGCATACGTCGCTCGGGCTCATGTCGATCAACCTCCGCGATCGACTCGGTCTCTCGTCGAGAGATGCTGGCAACTACATCATCGCCTTCACGTACACGGCCAGTGAGTACGCGTCACCCGCTTGTATTCGCGCGTCCAACATCGACAAGCATGCCCCTCAGCGCAAAAACGCGCCAACGACCGACGACGATATTCCAGGTGCATTGGCTGGCCTTTTTGGCGGGAAAATCTCGGTGATCACGAATTGGTGCTCGTTCTACCATAATTTGGTGCTGGCGGACGGCGTGCACCCGCTCTCGCACGCCCCGCTCGCCATGCAAAGTCTCTTGCCGTTTGACGCGACCGGCATTTTGTATTACCACTCACCCACCGACGTGCGCTTGGTCGTGACGCGCAATGCGTCGACGCCGCTCTTGCCGTCCCCGCTCTTGGAGCCCATCG